TGGTGTGCAATGAATCTGAAATATATGAAAGTTTCATTTTTATCATTACATTATGGAAAATAATGACCTTTATCACAATATGCTAATTTTTTGAGAAGGACCTGTATATGCTTCCATGCTTCCACTGTTCTAGAATTGCGCCGCTCAATTTGGCTGCATGTTGGAGCAGCTCTGTTACTTTCATTCTGAGTTTTTGCTTTTGGAAACTTTAATTCCTCTTTTTCTGGATGTAAATCACATTTTTTTGGATGATTATTTCCTCTGGTATCAGATGCTGTGCAGCTGGAAAGATTTTTACTGAAACTTTTTTAGTTTTGGATATTTGTTATGATGTGTAACCATGACAACAAGGCAGTTTTCTACAACCAACAGCAGCTGATTAAAAGCTCAAATAATATCTCAGCTACAGCCCCAAATCTCAAATGAGTTGAAAAGGATGTTCTGTGGACGTATTCTCATCTACCTGCCAGCTGTGCTCGAGTGCCTGACCACTGAGAACCTGGAACTAGCAGGAAACATGGCTCATGACAACACAAGGACAGGATCGTCCCTCGGCACCTACAGTTGACTGTCCGCAGCGATGAGGAGCTTGACTGACTGCTGAGAGGAGTGGCCATCGCTCTGGGAGGAGTTCTGCCCGGCATTCAGGCGGTCCTACAGCGCGGGGGAACCGAGAGGCCAGCCGAGTCTGGGTGGACGGATCGAACGGCATATGCGGCCAGTTTCTTAGGATCCACTGTGGGATGGACCTTTACAAGAGATCCTTACTGCCTACAACCATCAACATCTATAACATCTCTTAATAAAATGAGGATAATGAGTTACAACAACAAATAATTTCCCTTTGGAATTAATAAAGTATTTTTTTAATTGAATTCGAATTGAATTAGGTAATGCTATTAAACAGCATGGGATACATTTTCATTGTTATGCTGACGATACACAATTATATTTGTCCATGAAACTCAATTAATCTAATCAGCTACTTAGACTACAAGCATGTCTTAAAGACATAAAAACCTGGATGACCCTAAATTTTCTGCTTTCGAACACAGACAAGACTAGGTTTTAGTTTTTGGACCTGAGCATCTTAGGAATTAATTTTTCAGTCTTTCTCCCTCCTTTCTCCTCTCCGCATTTATCTGTCCTCCAGCTCTAATGTTAAAAATCTTGGTGTTATTTTTGATCAGGACATGTCTTTTATCCCCCACATTAAAAACGTTACTAGAACCACCTTCTTCCACCTGCGTAATATCACTAAAATTAGAAACATCTGATCTAAAAATGATGCAGAAAAACTGGTCCATGCATTTGTCACGTCTAGACTGGACTATTGGGTGTCCAAGTACTTCTTTAAAACATCTTCAGTTGATCCAGAATGCTGCTGCCAGAGTCTTAACTGAAGTTAGTGGGAGAGATCATATCTCTCCAGTTTTAGTTTCTCTCAATTGGTTCCCTGTCAAATCCAGAATAGAATTCAAAATATTACTTATAACCTACAAAGTTCTCAACAACCTCCATCCATCCATCCATTTTCTTCCTCTTATCCGGGGTTGGGTCGCGGGGATAGCAGCCTAAGTAGGGAGGCCCAGACTTCCCTCTCCCCAGCCACTTGGTCCAGCTCCTCCGGGGGAATCCCGGGGCGTTCCCAGGCCAGCCGTGAAATATAGTCCCTCCAGCGTGTCCTGGGTCTTCCTATGGGACTCATCCAGGTGGGACGTGTCCGGAACACCTCACCAGGGAGGCGTCCAGGAGGCATCCTAACCAGATGCCCGAGCCACCAACTGGATCCTCTCGAAGTGGAGAAGCAGCGGCTCTACTCTGAGTCCCTCCCGGATGATCGAGCTTCTCACCCTATCTCTAAGGGAGAGCCCAGACACCCTGCGGAAAAAACTCATTTCGGCCGCTTGTATCCAAGATCTCGTGCTTTCGGTCACAACCCAAAGCTCATGACCATAGATGAGGGTAGGAACATAGATTGAACAATAAAATGAGAGCTTTGCCTTTTGACTCAGCTCTCTCTTCACCAAAACAGACCTGTACAGTGCCTGCTTCACTGCAAACGCTGCACCTATCCACCTATCGATCTCACATTCCATTTTTCTCTCATTCGTGAACAAGATCCCAAGATACTTGAACTCCTCCACTTGGGGTAGGACCTCCTCCCTGACCCAGAGAGGGCACTCTACCCTTTTCTGGCTCGAGACCATGGCCTCGGATTTGGAAGAACTAATCCTCATCCCGGCCGCGTCGCACTTGGCTGCGAACCGCTCCAGCGAAAGCTGTAGATCACAATCTGATGAAGCAAACAGGACCACATCATCTGCAAAAAGCAGAGATGCAATTCTAAGGCCACCAAAATGGATCCCCTTAACACCTTGGCTGCGCCTAGAAATTCTGTCCATAAAAGTTATGAACAGAATCGGCGACAAAGGGCAACCTTGGCGGAGTCCAACTCTCACAGGGAACAAGCCCGACTTACTGCCGGCAATGCGAACCAGGCTCTGACACCGGTCATACAGGGACCTAACAGCCCGTATCAAAGGGCCTGATACTCCATACTCCCAGAGTACCCCCCACAGGGTTTCCCGAGGAATGCGGTCGAACACCTTTTCCAAGTCCACAAAGCACATGTAGACCGGTTGGGCAAACTCCCACGCACCCTCCAGGACCCTGCTGAGAGTGTAGAACTGGTCCAATGTTCCACGACCAGGATGAAAACCGCACTGCTCCTCCTGAATCCGAGGTTCGACTATCCGACGGACCCTCCTCTCCAGAACCCCTGAATAGACCTTACCAGAGAGGCTTAAGAACGTGATCCCCCTATAGTTGGAACACACTCTACGGTCCCCTTTTTGAATAGGTGAACCACTACCCCGGTCTGCCAATCCAGGGGAACTTCCCCCGATGTCCACGCAATATTGCAGAGTTGCATAAGCCAACACAACCCTACAACATCCAGAGCCTTAAGGAACTCCAGGCAAATCTCATCCACCCCTGGGGTCCTGCCACCGAGGAACTTTTTAACCACCTCGGTGACCTCAGCACCAGAGATTGGAGGGCCCGACCCAGAGTCCCCAGGCTCCACTTCCTCAGTGGAAGATGTGCCAGTGGGATTGAGGAGGTCTTCAAAGTATTCTGCCCACCGACCCACGACATCCCGAGTGGAGGTCAGCAGCACACCACCCCCACTATAAACAGTGTTGGTGGTGTACCGCTTTCCCCCCCGAGACACCGGATGGTGGACCAGAATCACCTCGAAGCCGTGCGGAAGTCATTCTCCATGGCCTCTCCGAACTCCTCCCATGCCCGAGTTTTTGCCTCAGCGACCACCTGAGCCGCATGTTGCTTGGACTGCCGGTACCCATCAGCTGCTTCCAGGGTCCCATAGGCCAAAAAGGCCCAATAGGACTCCTTCTTCAGCCTGACAGCATCCCTCACCGACGGTGTCCACCATCAGGTTCGAGGGTTGCCGCCTCGACAGGCACCAACAACCTTGTGGCCGCAGCTCCGGTAAGCCACCTCGACAATAGAGGCATGAAGCATGGCCCACTCAGACTCAATGTCCCCCACCTCCCCCGGAACATGTTTGAAGTTCTCCCGGAGCTGGGAGTAAAAGCTCCGTCTCACAGGAGACTCTGCCAGACGTTCCCAGCAAACCCTCACAATACATTTGGGTCTGCCAGGTCTGACCGGCATCCTCCCCCACCATCGGAGCCAACTCACCACCAGGTAGTGATCAGTGGACAGCTCCGCCCTTCTCTTCACCCGAGTGTCCAAGACATGTGGCCACAGATCAGAAGAGATGATGACAAAGTCAATCTTCAAACTGCGGCCTTGGGTGTCCTAGTGCCAAGAGCACATATGGACACCCTTATGCTTGAACAAGGTGTTTGTTATGGACAATCCATGACGAGCACAGAAGTCCAACAACAGAACACCACTTGGTTTCAGATCAGGGGGGCCGTTCCTCCCAACCACACCCCTCCAGGTCTCACTGTCAATGTCCACCTGAGCATTGAAGTCCCCCAGCAGAACAAGGGAGTCCCCAGGAGGTGCACTTTCCACTACCCTCCAAGGACTCCAAAAAGGGTGGATAATCTGAACTGCCGTTTGGTGCATAAGCACAAATGACAGTCAGAACCCGTCCCCCCACACGTAGGCAGAGGGAGGCCACCCTCTCATTCACCGGTGTGAACCCCAACACACATGGACCAAGTTGGGGGGCAATAAGTATGCCCACTCCTGCTCGGTGCTTCTCACTAGGGGCAACTCCAGAGTGGAAGAGTGTCCAGCCCCTCTCAAAGAAAGTGGTTCCAGAGCCATGCGTAGAGGTGAGTCCGACTATTTCTAGCCGGAACCTCTCAACCTCACACACCAGCTCAGGCTCCTTCCCCACCAGTGAGGTGACATTCCACATCCCAACAGCCAGCTTCTGTAACCGAGGATCAGACCGCCAGGGTCCCCGCCCTCGGCCACCACCCATCCACATTGCACCCGACCCCTTTGGCCCCCCCACAGGTGGTGAGTCCATGGGAAGGGGGACCCACGTCTCCTCTTCGGGCTGTGCCCGGCCGAGCTCCATGGGCAAAAGCCCGGCCACCAGGCGCTCGCCTGCGTGCCCCACCTTCTGTTCAGTGCCTTGAGATGTCTTTTGTTGTGACTTGGCGCTATATAAATCAACTGAATTGAATTGAATTGATTTGAAAGATGACATACGGCTAATTATGTCAATGTTGGACAGGTTGGGGAGTGGGTCAGGGAAAACTATGGAGTCAGACATAGTTTTTTCGAAGTTACATACCGAAGCAACATTAATTTTAGTGATCTCTGAAATTAATTGACTTGAACTGAACTGTCCTTCAACCTGTTGGTAGACCTCTTCAGTCAGTGAAGGTTTTCTGTTTCTTGATGGAAAAGGTTTCTAATATATAAGATCTTCCACCCTGCCCGAGGACAGTGATGGATAACTGCAGATGGGCATCTCACCTGTTCTGTTGAAGTACTCTCTGGAGTACCTGCCAGACAAAGCGAAGGGCAAAGGGATCGGGCCGAGTAACTCCATGATGTGAGCGATATGATCTGAAAACAGACAAATGTTTTTACACACAACATGTGACGAGAACTGAACATTCATGTGTGTGTGTGTGTGTGGTGTGTGTGTGTGTGTGTGTGTGTGTGTATCTGTGTGTGTCTGGTCATTTGTCTGTGAGTTTTTGTTTCAGGTTACCAGGGACCAATTTTACAAAAAAATCATGCATTGTGGGAACCAACTGATCTTTATGGGGACCAAAGTCAGGTCCACATATGGATAAGTCTCATTGGGGGGGGTTAGAGGTTAGGTTTAGGACTAACATATGAATTGCGGATGGGTAATGCCCCTTTTCCACAGTGATGGCTCGGATCAGGTCAGCTCGGTTCACTACGGTTTTGAACGCTTTTCTACTGTCATTTTTCCACGGAACTGGCCCCTTTTTTTGTCCCTTCTTCTCAAAGGTTGCAAGCGAGCCGAGCTGGCACAAAAACGTGATGTTCGAACACCGTCGATCACTGATTGGTCAGGGGGAGGAGTCACTGGACCTTTCAGAAACTTCAAAACACCAATCCGCCATTTGCAATTACTCGGAACAACTGCTGGATCTATGTTTAAGATTTAAATACAATAATGACAACACTGTAATCTAGTGCTTAAGTGCAGGCGTTGTTTTGTGCTTGGTGGCCGACGACAAAATTCAGAGCAAGCTAGATGGAGCTCTGCCAGTATCCCCGGAGCTTTGGAGCTTGCTCAGGCGTCATCTCCCCAGCTCCGACCTCCACTCGTCACGGCGGAAGATCCTCCGTGCTGCCAGCTCGGGCTCCGGATCCCGGCATTGCGTGCTCTGCGGGCTCTGAGCTCTGGTCACCATGGAGGATCATACGAGCTGCTGACTCGCAGAAGGCTGGGTCCTGATCCCGGACTCTCAAGATCATGAAGGCCAAACTCCGATCCCGGCAGATGGGCGGAGGATGAAAACGATTTTTAAAAACATTTTATGTATAAAAAAAAATAATGTTTTTTTTTTCAGATTCAAATTCAGATATTCTTTAATGTCATTCGCACCACATGTGGTGGAACGAACACACAGAGTCCCAGTTACATCCAACAATAAAATGTAAAAGAAAAACGGTAATAAGATCTAAGATATGAACTAAGAAAAACATCAACTAAATATACATTAAGCACTAATAACAAAAACAATACACCGAAAAGCAGCACAAACAAGAGTCTGTGTGAGCAGATGAGCATGAATGAACATGGCAACATGAAACAGATCAGCAGCAACATGAAACAGGTCAGATGCAACATGATGTGATTGTTCAAAGTGATTATTCTGGTCAGAGATTCATGAGTCTAACAGCCTCAGGGTAGAAGCTGTTACTCAGTCTAGTGATTCTACACTTAATGCTCCTCAACCTCCTTCCTGAGGAAAGCAGGGCAAAAAGTGTGTCTGCTGGGTGAGTGGGGTCCTTCATGATGCAGGCGGCTCTCTTCCTAGAGTTATAAATCAAAATCAGGTCTCTTGTAAATGAGTCCCAGAGGCTCAATGGGATTAATCTGTCTGAATAAAGGTTGAATGAATGAAAAATGTCTGTGATGGTGGGGAGGCTGACTCCATCAGACATCTATGCAGCCTTCACCACTCTCTGCAAAGCTTTTCTTTCTGCAGCTGTGCAGCCCCCATGCCACACGATGCTCTCCACTGCACACCTGTAGAAGGAGGTGAGGACTGAGCTTCCCAGACCAGCTCACCTCAGCCATCTGAGGAAGTAGTCTCTGATGAGCTTTCTTAATCAGGCTGGTGGTGTTGTTGCCCCAGCTGAGGTT